CGTTCGTTTTTTAAAATAGGTAACATTTGAAACAAAAAAATAAACTTTGGCAGGACATTCATTTTAATAACTGCAATTCTGCCCATAAGGGATAACTGTAAATTATTCCAGTTTTTTAAATCCTTCTGTACCTCCATCCACAGCTTTTCATAATTATTTTTATACAATTTTACATTAGAAGCAGATAATGTAACCCCCAAATATTTTACCTTATCAACAATTTCAAAGTCTGTTAAGTTAACTAGAGCCTGTTTATCACCATTAGTCATATTTTTAGCTAGTATTTTGGTCTTATTATTATTAATTTTAAAGCCAGAAACACGTCCATATTGTTGAATCAATTGTAATAATTTCACCACCGAAGAAACAGGTTGAGACAAAGTAACAACCAAGTCATCTGCAAAGGCTCTTAATTTATATTCTTTTTTATTAATTTCTATTCCTTTTATTTCTTGAGACTCCCGAATTTTAATCAACAAAATTTCCAGTGTTAAAACAAACAATAACGGAGACAACGGGCATCCCTGTCTTGTTCCTTTTTCTATTACAAAAGCCTCTGACAAACCCCCATTTACAATAATTTGAGCAGTCTGTTTTTGATATATATTGGATAATACTTGTAATATATTTTGTCCAAAATTCATCTCCTTGATTAAACACAGCATAAACTGCCAATTCACTTGGTCAAAGGCTTTTTCAGCATCCAAAAATATCAGGCCTGCAGAGACTTGGTTATTCTTTTCTAAATACTCTAATAAATTAATAATTTGTCTAACGTTATTCTTCATATACCTTCCAGTTATAAAACCCGATTGATCCCTATGTATAAACTGCTGCAAGATCCCCATAAGCCTGTTAGCTAAAATTTTTGCAAAAATTTTATAATCCACATTTAAAAGAGATATAGGCCTATAATTTTTAGGCAAAGTAAGATCTTGACTATCTTTTGGAATCAATGATATAAATGCATTACGCCAGGATGGAGGGATCTCTAACCCCTGTAATAAATTATTAAACAGTTCACACAACGGTTGAATCATCTCTTCTACTAAAGCTTTATAATAAATAGATGTCAACCCATCCGTACCCGGCGCTTTGCCCAATTTCAATTGTTTAATAGCTGTAACAATTTCTTCCTTAGTAATTAAACCGTTGATCTTTTTTTCCTGATCTTCTGTTAATTTAAAAAAGTTAACTTTGCCTAAATAATTATTTATATCTGTAATTTGAATATTAGTACCCTTATATAATTTTTGATAGTATTCTAAAAAAGATTTCTTAATCAATTCTTTCTGATAAACCAATTTACCATTATAATTTATTTTATCTATATTCCTCTGTTTCTGTTTTTTTCTTAACTGATAAGCCAACCATCTCCCTGGTTTATTAGCATTACAAAATGTATTTTGTTTCATAAATAGCAAATTAGTTGCAGCTTGATCAGCCATCAGCATGTTAAATTGTGTTTTTAACAATTTTAAAGCTCCTTTAACCTTTTCATCTAAGGGATTTGAAATTAAAAGTTTCTCTTTTAATTTAATCTCCTCTTCCAAGTCTTTCCGTTTCTGAGTCTGTTTCTGTCTATGCAAATTATTCATTTTTATCAAAATACCACGCATGAAAGCTTTACTTGCATCCCAGACCATTGACATTGATGTTCCCTTGTTCATATTTAAAGTAAAATATTCCTTTAAACATTCCTTTAATTTATGAACATTTTTTTCTTGTTTAAATAAATTCTCATTCACCCTCCAGGATCTCCTATCTTCCTTCTCTACAAACAGTTCCATCCAAACTGGACTATGATCGGACAATGTCCTAGGAAAAATTTTTACATTCTTCACCCTGTTGTATAAATCTGTTGTGATCAAAAAGAAATCAATTCTTGAGAAAGATTGGTGTCTATCTGAGAAAAACGTAAAATCCTTTTCTTCTTGATTACGTTCACGCCAATAGTCTCTCAATTCCCAATCTTCTTTCATATCAAAAAAGGCTTTAGGTAATTTAGCCTGTTTAAAAAAGGTAGAAGAGCCTTTTTTGTCCATTTGTATATCTAAGACACCATTCCAGTCTCCCATTAAAATCACAGATCTATAGTCCAACAAAGTTATTTTCTGATGTAGTAACCTATAAAATTGCTCCTGTTGCTGGTTTGGTGCATACAACCCCACAATAAGAATTTTCTTGCCATATAAACCAAGTTCAAGCATAACATATCTTCCGTAAGGATCTGATTCTAACAAGGTAGCAGATAAATTCTGTTTAACATAGATTACCACACCCCCTTTCTTCCCAGGGGCGGGAGATACAAAATGAGATCCCAAGCGAGGATTATTTAAATATTTTTGATCTTTAGCTGTAATATGAGTTTCTTGCAAGCAAATAATATCATTGTTATGTTGTTTCAAATAGTGGTAAATTTTTTTTCTCTTTTGAGGAATGTTTAATCCATTAACATTCCAGGACAGGAGCTTTGCCATCTCCCTTGGCCTTCAGCCTGGAGAAGATCCGCTCAAATTCTGCTGCTGATGAATATGTAGCAGAGCTTTTGGGTCTTGCTCCTCCCACCGGCACTGAAGCAATTTGCTGAGTAGATTCTTCAATTTCTTTTTCTTTTTCTTTTTTCTGTTGTTCTTTTTCTTTACGTTTATGTGCTGCACGGGTCATTCTCTGTTCTTTAACCTCTGGTTGAGACATCCATACCACCTGTCCAGCAGTCATCATCCCTGTACCTTCAGATTTCTGTTCCATCTCTTTGTCACTCAAGACTTTATGCATCATGGGCAAAGGAGAGCCTGCTCCCAGGACCGTTTTATAAAATTCCTTAGCTTTAGCAACTGTATTAAGTCTATAACGTGTCCCCGCATGGCTCAAAACAATGCCCATCGGAATCTCCCATCTAAATGGCATTTGTCTTGCTTTAAGTTCATTTACTAAAAAAGCAAAATCTTTTCTGCTTCTTAAAATTTTAGGTGGAATTTCCTTTAAAATAATAATATCTTGGGCAGCAATCTGAAATCTTTTATTATAAAAAGTTTGTAGAATCTGATTTCGCAAAGACTTCTTAGCAAAATATATCACCACATCTCTAGGCAAATTCCTCTGTTTTGCAATCCAAGAATTAACTCTATAAATTCTTTCCACATCCCCACGTAACTCTTCTTTATCAATATTCAAAATAAAAGCCAAGTCATTAATCACCATTTCCATCAAATCTTGAGTTTTATCTTCTTTCAGACCCCTTATTCTCAAAGCATATTCCATCTGTCTATACTGGAACATAAGAATATCATCTTGTGAAGTCTCCACTTTTTTCTCCATATCTTGAAATTTATAATCCAAAAGTTCAACTGTTTCTTCAATTTCCTCTACTCTGGAGTCCAGCTTCACAACCACTGAGGCCATTACAGATAGAGCTAGAAGTATATCATCCCTCAAAATAGCATTATTCTGTTCTAAAAGCTCCTTCATCTCTTTCTTCATTTCCTCCTTAGTTTCAGATTTATTCTGATCCAAAAGTTGTTTCATTTCCTCCCTAAACTGTGAGACGGCACTTACCATTATTTCTTTAATGTCTTGTGCTGATGTGCCAGATGGGGGAGGTGAAGGTGGAGTAGATTTAGGTTGCTGCACTGAGGGTATTATTTTAAGTTGTTGTTGCACAGTAGAAGTAGCAGGAGAAGAAGTTACTTTAGAAGCTGCAGTAGCTGGTTGTCGTTTTGAAGCCATTTTAATTTATCTTCCTTTCTTCTTAAAAATACCGATAAAAATAAGTAATCCAAAAAAAAATTAAAAATAAGATAAAATAGAATAAAATAAGATCAATCTAAAAGTCCCCAAGAATAAAAAAGTAAAAAAGTAAAAAAAAAGCAATATTAAACAACAATTCAACCGATCCGTCTTTTAAAGGAAAAAACTTTCAAAACGCCATTTTACTTTCACTCTCACTTTTCCGCCCGAAAAAAAAGAGAAAGCTCAAAAAAAATAAAAAAAAATCAGCACATACTAAATAAACTAAATAAACTAAAAAAAGATAAAATAAAGCTAAACTATAAATAAAATCCTTTAAACAGTTCTGTCCGGTTTAAGATTACTCACGGTTTCTTTAAGTACGGAGATGGTAGCGGCGTCTCGCTTTGTTTCCGAAGAAACAAAGACAGCTGAGAGGCGGAGAAGGCAATGAACTCCGAGGGAACCCTCTTTCTACCCCCCTAAAAATAAAGCAGGGCTTTTTTTGTCATAGAATGCCAAGAACGGAGTTCCGGCACCTTTTTTGGATAGAACATGGTTGTTAAGCGAATCTGGCTCCCCCACTGACTTGTAAGAAGATTACAAAAAGGGGATCATGTGTCCCCGGGATACACTGCAATCGTCATAAACATGAGTCAATTGCCAAGAGTCTGAATCTGGATCACATGACCCTGGGGAAGTCGTAAGTGTGAAAAACAGTCATAAGTCAGTTTTTTTAGTGCTGTTGTAACTTAGAACAGTCACAAAATGAACTGTTGTAAGTCGAGGACTACCTGTGTTTTCAGTATTCAATATAATGCATGTTTAGGTTTATAAAATAAACTGATTGGTGTCTCAGTGCAAACACAAAGACATACAGTATCACAACTGTTGTTAGTGATTTGTGCATCAAAAAAACAAACCTTCTTAAAATGCGGCTGGGAAGGAAGTTGGGCAACTGGCACTAAGAATAATAAATTCCTCCCTAATTGATCTCTATCTAATTACAATAAAATATGATTTCTATTTTTTTTTTAAAAAAAAAAAAAAAAGCTTAGTTTTTCTACAGCTATAAAGTGGCAAAAAATGTTCTGGAATACATGCTTCAAAAACAGTGTGACTCTTTTTGTGCACCTCTGATGGCTTCTAAGCTATCATGTCGGTGAGTTTACGCCACATGCTAAAATTGAAATGCAAAGAAACCCCACATGAGCTTAGCACAATGTGTGAAGCCAACTAGAGCTTGATTCCTAAAAGCTCACATCTCCTACCTCCATGAGGAAGACGTTGTTCTCCTGAGCTGTTCGTATCATCTCCTGTACTTCGCGGGCATTCATGCCCATTGGTTTTTCACAGAGAACATGCTTTTTAGCCCTGAGGAAGAGGGTGGTGTGAAAAAGATGCTGGATGTTGAGAGAACCCACGTAGATCACATCTGGAAGGGGGGAGCAGAAGTCACCTCAGCAAATGAACAGAAAATGGAAGAGAGGTAAAGGGGGAGACCAGGATTTCACAGGAACCTGGGAATCTTCTTCTTATGATCCTTCCTTCCTCCCTCCCTCCCTCCCTCCCTCCCTCCCTCCCTGCCTAATACAAAGTAATGAAAGGCCAGGAGGCAGCATGGAGTTGTACTGGAGAAATGAAGTCCATCAACCATTCCTTCCTTCCTTCCTTCCTTCCTTCCTTCCTTCCTTCCTTCCTTCCTTCCTTCCTTCCTTCCTTCCTTCCTTCTTCTTTCTTTTTTTCTGGAGTTGTATTGGAGATATGAAGTCCATCAACCATTCCCTCCTTCTTTCCTTCCTTCCTTCCTTCCTTCCTTCCTTCCTTCCTTCCTTCCTTCCTTCCTTCCTTCCTTCCTTCCTTCCTTTTTCTTTTTCTTTCTTTCTTTCTTTCTTTCTTCCTTCCTTCCTTCCCTTCCACACATCTTCAAGTTGTCAGAGTTGACAAACATTATTAGACAAACATCTGGCATAACTCCCTTTTTATGACCCTTAATTATACATACGTACATACATACATACATACATATATATGTAGGTCTTTGGTTATTCGGGTTTTCTCCCGCATAAAATTGGAAGTGTCTTGGCGACATTTCGACGAAGTCCCTCATCATCTTCAGGCTGGTGTTTTCAGCTTCATGCCTCGAGGAGCAATGTGTGGTCTCAGCTGTTTCTTCCTTTTAACTGCCAGTGGGGGTATGAACTGATTGCGCCAAGACACTTCCAATTTTATGTGGGAGAAAACCCGAATAACCAAAGACCTACATACAAACACCCGTGAAAACCTCAGAAAACAAATATATATATATACACCTAGGATTGAACTCTCAACCTTCTGAGTGGGAGGTGAAGGTCTTTACCATTAGGCCACTACTCTGCTTTAACATCTGGCATATGTCTTCCTATACTGATTCCTCCTAATTTCAAGTCTCAAATCCTCTCAGGAGAGAGTGTCTATGGAGATTCTCAGTCACCCAGGTCATAGTTATCAGGAGAATTTCAATTGTTCTCTTCCACAACCCTGCCCTGCCAGTTTTGGAACTGATTTTCTGTCCCCAAGGTCCAATTCAGCTCACCCACATCAGGATCCTGTGCAAGTTCCTCATAAGAGCCATAGGCCCTCCAAATGCCATGTAGTTTGGCATATTCCTGGGCACGCTTGAGATTGCTAGAAGCGATAGCAGCTATCTGAAAAAAAAGAAGCAGCAGCCAAATTATATGAAGTTGGACACTGTATTTTATTCTTTCAAAAATTAGCCCTCCTTCTACTTAGAGGAAGGGGTCAAAGGATGATAAATTTTCAATTCATCCTTGTATTTGATTAAAAGGGAATCTGCATCCTAAGAATTGTGTACTTGCATTATGGATAGGTAGGTAGGGAACAGCCATTGAGGTACACAGAAGTGTGTCAAATATAGATAGAGTTGATTTTATTTTTAATTTCAGTATTCATGTTTGATTTCAGTACAGGTAGTCCTCAGGTAACAACCACAATTTTGAGTTCAAAATTTCTGTCACAGTGAGACATTTGTTAAGTGAATTTTGCCCACTTTATTATTTTTCTTGCTACCAGTAAGTGAATCACTGCAGTTGTTAAGTGAGTAACATGATTGTTAAGTGAATCTGGTTTCCTCATTGACTTTGTCAGAAGGTCAAAAAAGTGATCACGTGACCCCGGGACACTGCGACACCATAAACATGAGTCAGTTGACAAGCGTCTGTGTTGAGTCCTCGAGTCAATGGCGAAAGAAGAGCACACATTCTGATAGTTGTAACAGCCTTTATTCTCTTCAGCTCTCTCCAACACAACTCAGAGGCTCGCAGGCCTCTCTGCCTCTAAATGGAATCCCCGGGCAAAAAGGTAACAAAGAATGGTGGGCTTTCGCACCTTGCGCATCCACTCAGTCTGGTCCCGGGCAGCTTGCAACAGCCAGGGACCATTGCAACGTCCCGAGCCTGCTTTTGCAGGCTCAGGGCACAACACCCCTTCCCCCCCGGATGAAATTTAATGAACCTATATAGATAGGTATACGCGACCTTCAAATGGACGTGGTGTGCTATCCCTTATGAACCGCACAACTGTTGCAGCTACTTACTAGCCACTCTATAACATGGTAGCATGCTATTATTTTGGAATTAAGTGCCCAAAGACTCACAATTCCAAGTTCACCCAACAGCAGGCACCCTCTTCACTTCCCTTGCTTTGACAGCAATGTCACAAAATCTTCCAGGTATTTGGTAGATCTTTTAACCCTCTGTGACCTTCTCAGATTTTGAGAACTCCCTTGACCATCCTGTGCAGTGATTGCAGTGGAGTTGCCCCCTCTTTTAAGCCCTGGTGGTCCCCGTGACCTGTATTCTGTTGCCTGGTCTGCTTGCTTGCCCACCGGGCTCGTCAGACCAGGACTTTGCTCCCTACTGTACCTGGTTGATCTGTCTAAATGTAGGCTATCGGGCCCTTCTATGTTCCCACCAGTATTTGGTGATTCCGTGGTACTCTCCAAGTCCACAATGGACCTATCAAGGGAATGCATCCCTTCACTCCCAAGCCCTGTAACTGGGTTGTCTAGGGTTTCTGCAGTGCCCCAGTACTCGGTTGCCCCCCATTCCATGCCGGAGGTACCAGAATCAGGATTTGCCTCTCTGACTACCTCCCTGTATGCAGACTTCCTTTTGGGAGCAGTAGCAGCATTGGGCCAGCTTGTTTGTTTGGATGCCAGTTCTCTTGCGTTATTTGGGTTGTTTGGATGCTCCCGGTTATTCTCCCTGCTTGGAGTACTGTAGTGGGGTTGTGAATAATGAGTATGCCCCCTGGGTGACTCCCTGGCTGGAGTAGGTACTGGTGCCTGTATTGTTCCTTGTTTCCCTGAATTCCTGTTAGGGGCACTTGCGGAACCTTGGGAAAGGCCTTCCTCCGACTCTCCGTTTACCCCTGATTGCTGCCAACACCCTTCCCTTTGCCCACAGTGGTCCCCCTCCCCCCCCGAGAAAACCAGGAGTTGAAGAGGGAGAGTCCAGTCTCGTACGCAGCTGGTCGATATGCCGCTGAAGGACACGACCGTCGTCCAGGGAAACCTTGTAGAACAATGGACCAGTGACCTTGCATACTATCGCCGGAACCCATAGGTGACCGGGCCCATAGTTCCAGGTCCATACCGGGGCACCCACTTGCAGACACCTTGGTGCCCTTGGTTGGGAGACCCAAGGAGCCACCCTGTCCGGATGCAGCCTGTCAAGTTTGGTGATCAGTCTGCGCCTCCAGCGAAGTTCTGCCGGGGTCTTCCCAGTGGAAGTAGAAGGTGTGGTGTGGTAAGCAAGAAAAAAATCTGCCAACCTGTGATGCCAGTGCCCATAAGTCAGTTTCTTGAGAGCATCCTTGGTGATGCGAACCATCCGTTCAGCCATACTGTTGGTGGAAGGGAGCCGAAGTCACATGTCGAATCATGTTGGCTGCAGAAAAGCCTGAAACTCGGAAGAAGTGAATTGAGGACCGTTGTCTGAAACCAGAACATCTGGAAGGCCATGAGCAGCAAAAATCGCTCTTAGTACTTGAATAGTCTTGGCAGCAGTAGTGGAAGAGACAGGAACAACCTCAAGCCACTTTGAATGGCTGTCAACAAGGACCAAGAAGAATTGTCCCTGAAAAGGCTCAGCGTAATCCACATGCACCCTAGACCACAGGTCGACAACCTGTGGCTCCGGAGCCGCATGCGGCTCTTTGGGCCTTCCCCTGTGGCTCCCAGCCTCCTCTGCCTTTGCAGAGAGAGACAGAGACAGAGAGAGGCAATTGCGCTTCCCTGCTTCTCTCTCTCTCTCTCTCTCTCTCTCTCTCTCTGTTTTGTGTGTGTGTGTGTGTGTGTGTGTATGTGTAAAAGAGAGTGCACTCGCAGTGTTCTCCGAGGAGCTGAAAAGCTTACTGGGCGGAGCTCCTCCCTTTGCTGCGTCTCTGCAGGAAGCAGGAAGGGCAAGAGAGAGCTAGCTAGCCCAGCTAGGCTGACTCAGGAATTCTGGGAGTTGAAGTCCATGAGTCATAAAAGAGATAAGGTTGCCTACCCCTGAGCTTGTTGGACAACAGCTTGAAGCTTGCCAGGTGAGCAGCAGATAGGAGGGGGGGGGAGAAAGAGAGAGAGAGAGAGAGAGAGAGAGAGGAAAGAGAGAGAGAAAGAAAGAGAGTGGGGGAAGAGGAGCGGCAGACCAAGGGCAGACAGAGAGGGAGAGAGACAGAGAGACAGAGAGACAGAGACCCTTTTGACATCTAAAATGAAGATAACACTGCATATATCCTTTTTTTACCTATGTGTGTATGTAATTTTATTCTCTTAAAGCATTCTCTTGTTGATCATTGTTTTAATAGTATGGATATTCCAAAGAGTCATATTTTTACTTTTATTTTTAATATGTGCATATACATATACATATACATATACACATACACATACACATACACATACATACATACATACATACATATATGTAGGTCTTTGGTTGTTCGGGTTTTCTCCCGCGTAAAATTGGAAGTGTCTTGGCGACGTTTCGACGAAGTCCCATTCGTCATCTTCAGGCTGGTGTTTTCAGCTTCCTGCTTTGAGCAGCAATGTATGGTCTTAGCTGTTTCTTCCTTTTAACTGCCAGTAGGGGTATGAACTGATTGGGTGGGAGCTTGGCTGTGTTCTGATTGGGTGGAGGTGTGTTCTGAATGGTTAGGGGCTTGGCTGTGCTCTGATTGGCTGGGGGAGTGTTCTGTTTGGTTGTGCTCAGGTTAGTCTGAGTTGCAGAGGGGTTTGAGATTTTGGGCTGCCTTGCTATTTTTTGGCTTCGCGTTCGTGGTCGTGCTTCCTCTTCATGGAGGGTGTCAGTTTGCTTCATGTATGGATTGGAGGGGTTTAAAGTGGCTAATGATGCAGCTGTGGTCTGGCTTCTGGTTTGTGGTCGTGCCTTGTCATCGGTGTGGCTTTGGGTTTGTTTTTTGCGTGGATGTGTGGTGGTGACATCCTGTGTGGTTTTTGTGAGTGTGGGTCTGGTATCATTTTTTGTGTTAGGGAGTCGTTTGTCAATAAGGGCGGGTTTCCAAATGGCTGGTAGGCGGGAGGTATCATCTCGCTTGTTCATGCTGTGTGGGCGTTTTTCTATCTCGATGGCTTCTCTGATTATTCTGTTATTAAAATGTTCACTTTTGGCGATAGTTCTGGTATTTTTAAAGTCAATTTCATGTCCTGTGGCTTTAAGGTGTTGGACCAGGGAAGATGTTGGTTCCTCTTTTTTGACTGAGTTCTTATGTTCTTCAATGCGTGCACTTATTCTTCTGTTGGTTTGTCCGATGTATGTGGTGGGACAAGTGGTGCATGGGATTTCGTATACTCCTTGATTTTCTAATTCAATTTTATCTTTGGGGTTTCTAAGGATGGTGGATATTTTTCTGTTTGTGCAGAATGCTGTTTTGATGTTGTGTTTATGGAGGATCTTACTGATTCTGTCTGTGGTGCCTTTTATGTATGGGAGGAGGGCTTTGCCGTTTTCTTGTTCTTTGTCTTGGATTTTAGTGGGGGTTTCTTTTTGGATTAGGTTTGTAATCTTATTTCTATGGAATCCATTGGATGTTAGTACATTGGTGAGAGTGTGTAGTTCGGGTTTTAGGTGTTGTTCGTCAGCTAAGCGTTTTGTTCTGGAGATGAGGCATTTCAGGGCGTGAATGCTGGCACAAGTGGCATCCATGCACTTGGGCCTCTATTTCCCTGTCTAATCCTGGCCACCATAAATGGCTGCGCGCAAGCGCTTTCATCCTGACAATGCCAGGATGACCCTCATGGAGAGAGGCCAAGACTCTAGGTCTCAATGAGGTAGGAATAATACTCTGCTGCCCCACAACAGGCAACCCTGAAAAGTAGATAACTCATGCTTCTTGAGCCAGAAGCTTTGGAACTCAGTACCTGGACAACTCTCAGGCCATCCAGACAAAACCCATGAAAGCACACGAGTAAGCGTGACATCTGTGGCTGATTCAGCAGCCACATCCCTGGCATTTAGGGGAGACTCAGGCAACGCCTGAATGGAGAAAATATTGATGGCAGGGGCAGGGTCAGCCTCTACCAGTTGCAGAGGTAATCTACTTAGGCCATCAGTGTGGCCCATTTCCTTGCCAGGTTTGTGAATCAATGAAAAATCATAGGCTGACAAAAAAATAGACCATC